AGTAAGACTCTGTCTCAAAAAGAAAAGAAAAACAGTCCCTCCCCACTGGCAGCACATTTCAGTGACACAGAATAGGTCACAAAACTTGCTTACTTGTGTGACATAGTCAACCTGCTCAATGAACTCAGTCTGCCACTTCAGGGGAGAACAACTATGTTCAAGTTGGCAGATAAAGTGGCTGCCTTCAAAGCCAAACTGGAATTGGGAGGGTGACGTGGGGATTTTTGATGTGTTTCAAACATGAACAGAGATTTTGAAAGAGACTGAGCCTGGGCCTTCTTTCTTCCAGCTGCTGTATCACTGACTGTCAGCTTTCAAAAGAGTCTGCTCGTGACTTCAACCACAGAAGACCCCTGAACTGTGAGGGGACGGATCCACTACCCATTTGTAAATAAGCCAGGTGAACTGACTTTATCTCTGCTAGAAGAGGTTCAACTGCTTTGAGATCTCAAATGACAGGTGGCCTTAAAAGTATACTTGAGACAACTTTAAATCCCAATATATTCTGCATTAAAGTCAGAGCAGAATTCCTGAGATTGCCACAAAAGCACTGAGAAGCCTGCTTCTGTTTCCAGCATCCTATCTTATGAGGTAGGGTTTTCTGTAGTGACAGCAACCAAAACAAGATTATGGAGTAGAATGGACACAAGCAACAAACTTCGGTTGTCACTGTCCCCCATCTCCGCCAGATGGGACTGTCTAGTAGCAGCAAAATAAGCTCAAGGGCTCCCACAGATTCTGCATTATGGTGAGTTGTAGAACTATTTCATTTTACATATATTACAATGTGATAATAATAGAAATAAAGCAGTAAGTGTAATGTACCTGAATCATCCTGAAACCATACCACCTCCCCAACCCTTGTCTGTGGAAAAACAGTCTCCCATGAAACTAGTCCCTGGTGCTAAAAAGGCTGGGGAGGGCCGGCCTAATCCCTGCTGTGACCCCAATGCCTCCGTAAAGGTTTGCTACACACCTCAGCTGTGTATCAGTGTGCTTTGGAGAATGAAGGACTCAAGTAGTGTTCAGGGAGGGGTGAAGGGGGACACTTTCAGGAGTTCAGGCCACAGTGGAGATGGTGAATTCAGTACAAGTAGGAAATTAAGCAAAGGTGATCAGGAGAAGGATAAATTTCCTAAGTATTTTTGGAGTTAGAAGAAAACACCAGGATTCTGAATATATTTGGAAGGGGTTTCAAGTGTATTTCTGAATATTGTTTGAGAATTAAAGAAGGTGATTTTCTGAGGATATTGGGGCCACCCAGGCATAGATAATTTAACTAGATTGTTCAAGTAAACAAATTAATAAGGACTAGGGTAGGAAGCTGAGATATTTCCCATCTGTGGTCCTCTGAGAATGCTGAAAAAACCTGATGAGCAGTTTGGAATAGCAGTTTGGTAATCCCCTTAAAAATCCGTTTCTCCTTGTAAGCAGCCTGAGAAAAGGCACCGTCTTAAACGAATTTTTTGTATCCTTAATGCATTGTAGGAACCCAATAAATGATAGAATAAATGAATGAATAGAAGACTCAGTAGGCTGTGAAGGTAGTGCTATTCCGAAGCTCAGGCTGGAGGCAGTGACCTCTGACTTGAGTCTAAAAACTTCTCGTTTGGGAGCAACAACAAAATACATCTCCTAAATTTAGCTCAGTTCAAGGTCCGGCTCTTTTAGAGGGCGTGGCTAGGAGGTCGTATTCCGACGCTACCTGTCAACTGACCAATCACCGCTTAAGAGAGCGGGGATCGCCATCTGTCCCCGCCCCCTTCTTTTGGAAAGTAAATATATTTAGGCGCTATTCAAACGGACCAATGACTGCTCGACGTTCCTGCGGTAGCCCCTCATCGATTGGTCGGAGTTTGTTATCCCGCCCTCCTTGTCACGGCCCTTGCCCCACCCCTTTGCACACAAGATGGCGGCGCCCAGCAGAGTAAAGGCTGCGCCAGTGGTTTGCCGAGGCTGATTCCCTCTCATACTCCCTCTTTGGGTGCAAAGCGCTGCGAGCGGGAGGACGGGGGCCGGGCGGGGACAGGGGCACCTGCGTAGCTGGACCGCGAGCCCGCGCCCAGCCTGCGCCGCCCCCACCCGGCCCCGGCCCGGCCCGGCCCGATCCCGTCCCATCCCTTCTGTTTTTGCCTCCTCCCGGACTGACCCATTGCTTGGCCGTGGTACGCCACACCGGTCTCCAAAGCTGAGGTTCTTCCTCCAGCCCGGGCTTGCCTTCACTTTAGATATGTTTGGCCTCTTCCCTGCGAAACAGCTCGCATTTAAAACCAGGACTCTTGAACCGACGCCTGACCCCCTTTCCTTCTGCTAAGACTTCACTTCCCTCTGACCTGACCCATTTCTTCATCAGAGTCTTGGTTTCCCCTGGGTTGGAGACTGCTCTCTTCCCTTCCAAATTGATCTCTGACCTCCCCTCGACAAAATATTGAAAACCTTGTCAACTCCCTCAACCAAGGAGTCAGACTTTCTTTTGGACTAATCTTCACACTCCTATCATGGAGGCAGTGTACCTGGTAGTGAATGGGGTGGGCCTGGTCCTGGATGTGCTGACTTTGGTGTTGGACCTCAACTTCCTGCTGGTGTCCTCCCTCCTGGCTTCCGTGGCCTGGCTTTTGGCCTTCATCTACAACCTGCCTCATACGGTACTGACTAGTCTTCTACACTTGGGACGGGGAGTCCTGCTTTCACTGCTGGCCTTGATGGAAGCCTTGGTCCGATTCACCTTTGGGGGTTTTCAGGCCTTGTGTACCCTGCTCTATAGCTGCTGCTCTGGCCTGGAGAGCCTAAAGCTGGTAGGGCACCTGGCCTCTCATGGGGCACTGCGGAGCCGGGAAATACTGCACCGGGGTGTCCTCAATGTGGTTTCCAGTGGCCATGCTTTGCTGCGTCAGGCTTGTGACGTCTGTGCCATTGCCATGAGCCTGGTGGCTTATGTGATCAACAGTCTGGTCAACATCTGCCTTATTGGCACACAGAACCTCTTCTCCCTGGTGCTTGCCCTATGGGATGCAGTGATGGGGCCTCTGTGGAGGATGACAGATGTGGTAGCTGCCTTCCTAGCCCATATTTCCAGCAGTGCTGTGGCCATGGCTATCCTTCTTTGGACCCCCTGCCAACTAGCACTGGAGCTGCTGGCCTCAGCTGCCCGTCTCCTGGCCAGCTTTGTGCTGGTCAATCTCACTGGCCTGGTCTTGCTAGCTTGTGTGCTGGCAGTAACAGTGATGGTGTTGCACCCGGACTTCACTGTGAGACTGGCCACCCGGGCACTCAGTCATCTCCATGCCCGGCCATCCTACCATCGTCTCCGAGAGGATATCTTGCGGCTGTCTCACCTAGTACTGGGCTTTGAGGCCTGGCGCCGAGTCTGGAGCCGCAGCCTACAACTAGCAAGCTGGCCGAACAGGGGAGTGGCACCTGGAGGCCCCCAGGATGACCCCAGGAGGGTGTTCCCAGCTAGGCACCGGAGACAGGACACTCTTCTTGAAGCAGGGCCCAGATCTGAGGCAGAGGAGCAGGAGAGCAGGACCTTCAGAGCAACACCTGCCAGGGGCCGGGAAAGGCTCAATGAGGAGGACCCTACAGGCGGGCAGGACCCATGGAAGTTGTTGAAGGAGCAAGAAGAGCGGAAGAAGTGTGTCATCTGCCAGGACCAGAGCAAGACGGTGCTGCTTCTGCCCTGCCGGCACCTGTGCCTCTGCCAGGCCTGCACTGAAATCCTGATGCGCCACCCCATCTACCATCGCAACTGTCCACTCTGCCGCCGGGGCATCCTGCAGACCCTCAATGTCTACCTCTGAAGACTCTTCCTGCCTGCCCACCCCTTCACGCTCCACACAGACACCCATGCTAGGACAGCATTCCACTTCATCCCTGGGTCCTGGTCTGAATCCCCTCCTATCCCTGTGGCTGTCATGCCAAACCTCCAAGCCATACATCCAGGACTTTGAGATGGGATACTCTGGAAGACTGTGATCTAGGTGGGGGCAAGGTAACATAGCTTCACCTTACCCAGTGGGTCCCTTTGATGCTGAGGGTGGTGAGTATGTCACTATGCAAGGGCCCTGAGACTTCACTGTGGGCTGTTGTCCGCCTGCCTAAGGCCTATCTAGATGGCAGCCTTTGGGGTTATCCCTGTTTCTGTTTTTTTTGTTGGGGATTTATAGGTCCTTCTGCCTCCTCACTTCCTCCCCAGTTTCTGTAGCTACAACAGATCAGTGTTGTTTGGGTGTTTTGGCAATTCAAGGGCCTTGGAGTGATTTTGAACCCTGTGCCCTGGTAGGCTTTGGGGGTTAACATCTCTCAGGTGCCCTTAGAGCCACTTCCCCCTATTCTTATGAGGCTGCCTCTCAACCTGATCCAAAAGCTGGGACCAGGAGTTTACCTCTGTGAGGGTGCAGCTACACCTGGCTTTGGGACCATATGCCCTCCAGCACTTCAGCTCACTGGAAACTTTAGGAGGGATAACCAGACTTCTACTGATTCCCTTTTCACTCCCTACATCACACAGAAAAGTGGCATTCTTCTTCTGTCTCTCCCTAGCATTGGGGTGAGCAGACCGCACATTTCACTAGGGTCCAAACACAGAAGTGGCTGGGGCCCAGGGGCTTGCAGTTCTCTAAGGGGTCCATCTGGTCCAGTTTCCAATGAATAAAGTTCTATTGACAGCTCTGACAGCCTCTGTGTGTATCTCTGCAAGGGTGAGCTGTTGGTCAAGGTAACTTGATTCTGCATTAGAGTCCTCAGTCCTGCTGGAATCAGAGTGTAATCTATTGGGGGGACCAGGGCTTAAACTGGAGGATGGAGGAGGAGCTAAGATAGGGTGGGAAGACTGTCATGGACTAGCCCTCAAGTGCCTCTGATTTGTGCTCTCTCATACACATGGCTTTCAAAATGCCTTATCTTTTCCTCTTTTGCCAGAATTAAGCCTTTGTAGAGAGGAATGTGCTCCTTGAATCAACTTTTTCTCTCCTGCCACTCTTACCAGGAGGGAACTTGAGGTTCCTACTGCCTGGGGTCCCATCTACCTTCCATCTCTTGAGGAACTGGCGCTGGTCTTTGTTTCTCTTGGTATAGAGCAGTGGTTCTCAACCTTCCTAATGCTTCGGTCCTTTAATACAGTTCTTGTGGGTCGACCCACAGGCTGAGAAACGCTGGTATAGTGTCTGGCATGGTGATAGTCCGGAGGAGGGCTGCAGGACTTCCTGGTGGAGGGGCAGAGAGCTTATGCCTGAGGCTTGTCCCTAGCTCGCATTTGGGGCCTAGTCCCCATTGGTTATATCTGCTCTCTTGTGGCCAGCAAGAGAGGAGGGGCACTCCCCCATAATTGTATGTTACATTAGGAGCATAATGCCTGAGATTGCCTTCTGGAGGGAGTGTGGGAAGCGAGTGGGTCATGAAGGAATTCTGAGGAGAGGCCCCACCACTTTTTCTGGGGTAGAGAGGCTGAGCAGGCTGTAGGATTAGCAAGGCAGGGTTTGTTAGTCATTGGATTGGGAGTGGGGCCTGGGCTGGGTTCTGAAGGTCAGGGAAGGGGAGTATTGAAGGGGCTTCGTGGCCAGCCTCTGACATAGTGGCTTAGCCCACCCAGGCTATGTTCAGCACAGTGGGGGAGAGTTCTTCAGCTCCACCTCAGTTGGGAGTCCCACAGGAGGGCTTGGCACTTCCTCTTCCCTTCTTCCAGCCTTGGTGGGGGATCTGAGCATGGGGAAGCTTGGCTCCTTCTCTTCTGTGTTTATTGTGGGGATAAACATTTTATGAGAAGATAAACTTCCTGAGCTGGGAGGCAAGGACCCCCTTTTCTTCCACCCCCATCTGGAATTCCTTTGGCAGAGCTCAATAACCACCACCCCCCCCAAATGAGCTCAAGTTACCAAGGGTCATCCCTGTAGTCTGGAACTGGGACGCCCACTACTGGTAATCCCAGGAACTAGGTATCTTTAGACCCAGGGACACTCCACTCAGCCAGCACCAGTGAGAGAGCAATAGTTTTCAAGTCATCTAGAGATCAAGTGAGCAGACAGAACCAGCAATGAAGAAGAATCCTGGGCTCCTTTTTGTTGGATCAGGGCAAGGGTATTTGTAGTGAAGGCAGCCACCACCCTGTTCATTTGGCATTTTAGAATCTCTGGATGGCCAGGTCCCACTGGGAAGGCATCATCCTCAGACACTCCTGTTCACAAAGTACAGACCTAGGTGGCAGCTCTGTGGAGCAGGCTGTCAATCACTTAGGCCTGCTTCCTGTATTTCTGGCCCTATTTTTCCATCCCACCAAGAATCCTCCCTTTCGCCTGAGCACACCACTCCACACCACAGTCCTCAAACAGCATTCCCACCACTAAAGAAGAAAAGCTGAAGCCAGTAGGAGGGTTTGTAGATTTATTGAGTGATCTCTGAGAAAAGGGCCGGCCCCAGGAGTAAGAGGGATGGGGGAAGACCCAGAGAGGCAGAGGACCAGGAAGAGAGCACCCCACTGTGGAATCCTGGGCCAGAGCAACCGGAGAACTCACACTTGCCAGCATCGCACATTCCTTGGTCTTGGGCAGAAATCCAGCCACTGCCCTGCGCTGTGAGAACTGATCTCAGACAGCCTCTGTCCCCATTCCTTGCTGGCTGCAGGACCGAGAGGCGCCCATCCCACCTCCCTCATTATTCACAATATTCCAGGGGGGCCAGCCCCCCTGGGTGTTGTGGCTGTCAAGTATCACACCCTCCTTTAGGAGAGAGGTGAGCTCACTTTCTAGTGGGCACTAAGCGAAGACTGGGGAGCTGTGCCAGTCAGAGTAGACCAGGAATCCAGAGAAGGTGCTGTCTGTCTTGATGCTGGCATAGATGCCGATGTAATCTCCCACGCCCACCTGCACCCACACCTGGTCCTCGGGCTCCAGCCTCACCATGGCGCCCCCTGAGAGTGAGGCTGGCTTGGGCCAACCCCCAAAAAACTGAAAGAAAGAGGCGATGGATACGCCATTCTTGACCAGATCGAACTGCAGGCTGGCTCGGTAGACTGTGGCGTGTACTGCGAAATAGTAGACTCCTGGCACCTGGCAGGTGAACTTGCCGGTGGCAGCGTCGTAATGTCCCTGCTCGTTTACCAGCACGCGGTCAAAGGGTAGGGGCGCGTCAGACAGCGGAGGCACCCGGCTCTCGGAGCGCTTGGCGCTGAAGGCGGAGCGTGGGGGTACAGAGCATTCCCCGGCAGGCCCGGTCGCCCCCGCGGGTCCTGCCTCTCCTCGAGGCCCGGGCTCCCCACGAGGCCCCGGCAGTCCTGCGTAGGTAAGGGAAGCGTTAGGGTGAGTGCAGCGGTCACCCGCAGCACGGTGCCCGAGGGCGACTCTAAGGACATCCTCCGCCCACCTCATCCTTGCTAAACTTCGGCCAGTGGCTCCCTGCACACCAATTTTTCCCCACCCATTCCTGCAGCGTTCATGGCAGATCGGAGGGGCAGGCCAAAGAGGGTCCTGGTTCTGGCTCCCGGCTGGGGAGCCAGCCCCTCCCCCTCGCGGAGCTGGAATGGGCGGAGGGAGCAGCGCCCCCTCGCAGGAGCCGCGAGCCCCGCGGGGCGGGATAGCACCGAGAACCGGAGCCGCCGCCGTGCATGCTCCGACGTCCCATGGACAGCAGCGAAGGTGCCTTCTTACCCGGCTGTCCGCCCTCGCCTTTCTCGCCAGGAGCCCCGGGTGCGCCGTCGCGGCCGTCACGGCCGTCGCGGCCGGGCAGGCCCTGGCTGCCATGGTGGCCCGGTGTTCCTGGAAGGCCGGGATGCCCCGGGCACAGGCTGGGAATCTTGTTGTCGTCCAGCGGGGGAGAGCCGGCCGCCAGGCCCAGGAACAGTAGGGCGAGGAGCAGCCTCATGGCGCTGGCACCCGGAGCCCGAACGCTGGGGTCCTCCTGTGGTCTGTGGGCTAGGCAGGACTGGAGTCGGGACCCAGAATTCTGGGACCTGCCTCACTCACCACCCCACTGCCACTCCTCTGAGGCTGAACGGCCGTAGGGGAATGAAAAAGAGGGCGCCCCCAGATCCGAGCGCCGGAGAGCAGAGGGGAGCAGAGGAGGCCGGCCCTCCCTCTTCCCCAGCGCCGGCCCGCACCCAGGCTTTCCCACAGTCTCCTCCCAAGGTCCGTTTCTCCTCCCCCCGCCAGACTCACCCGCTCCCGGCTCCCGATGTCCTCCGTCTGGGCGTTCACTCCCCGGGACCCTCCAGTCGGCTGTACTCTTGCCCCTGCGTTTCTCCCCAGCTAGGCGCCTCCTGCCCCGTCCGGGTTCGCTCCCTGCCGGCTGGGCTCTGCTCCTCCCAGACTCCAAGAGGAAATCAGTCGTTCAGGGGCCAAGAGCTCCGGACGGGGAAATAGCTGGGAAATAACTCGTGGTGTCGCCCGGCGGGCGGCCAAAGTTTGGGGAGAGAAAGGAGGGGGAGAGAGACTTGAGCCGGGCATAAGAGGCAGCCAGTAAGAGGCTGACACTCGGGGCACCTCCTGCTCCCGGGAGCTGGAGAAGTGGTGCAGCGGCAGAGACCAAGACCAGACCCTCTTCCAGGAAGAAATGCAAGCAGAGAACTTGGGGTGGAGAGTTCTAGAGGCAGATAGCCACCTGGAGCGGGACCTGTGGGGGCGACCGGGCCTGCTGGGGACTGCTGGGTGCCCCCAAGCTCCACCTAGAACAGGGCTGGCTGCATTAGTAGGTACTAACTACATTTTTGTTGCCTAAATGAAAAAGTCAGAAGGCAGGTGATAGAGAATCTGAAAAAGCAGTTGGAAAGGGGAAAGGGAGAAGATGGGAAATCTGGGTGAGAGACCTGGATGGGAAGCAGTCTAGATTGTTCAGTAGCACGGTGTGGGGCATGCCCTTGCCCTGAGCAGCATGGGGTAATAGGGATCAAGGAAGGAGCAGGGAGGGGGTGGGGGGAGTCTTATTAGCCCCTGTGGACAACTCTTCCTCCCTCTCCCTGTGAGGCCTCGGAGAGGATGGGCAGAGTGTCTGCAGGTCCTTTGCTCCCCTGCCTGCCCACTCTCACTTGTAAAGGAGGGTGGGCAGGTAGAGGGACAGAGGGCAGGGGCCAGCTCCAGGGTCAGGGCTGGGCACAAGCCTCCAGGCCAGCTGCCTCAGGAAGCCTGTTGCAGTTGAAGGGCCAGGGGGTGCCCAGTAGTGCCAGGCCAGACTGGCACTGGTGCTCTGCCTCCTGGCAGACAGAGCGGCAAGGGGGAAGGACACTGCCTAGTGGGGTGCAGCGGGGCACAAGCAGCCCACAAAGAAGCCTCCGGAAATTCTGGTAGCAGGGCAGACTTGTCAGGCTCTGTGGAAAGAGGAGACAAGCCCTTAGGTACCCTGCTCCCCAGGCTCCCTCCCACTCCTGGTGCCCCTCTCATTATCTCTGCCCAGAGTACCTTGTAACCGCTGAGGACCTCTACCACCTCCTCCTGGGTAGCCATGCCCACCCAGATGTTAGGGAAGGCCGTGGTGTTGTAGCTCAGACCGATGCACATCTCTACCTGGACAGGCTCACAGGCCAGTTCTGTAGGGTGGGAGGGGATGTGTAGCAAGTGTGGGGACACTTGCTGTGTGGCTTAGGATGAGTCACCTAATTGCTCTGGGTCCTTGTTTCTACATGAGTTAGCTCTGCATTATTGTATGAATCCAAGGAGATAATAAGGAGTGGTGTCTCACACACGTGG